GTAGGAATTTTACAAGAAAATGAGCTAATATGGGAAAGAATACACCATACAAAGAGGCCCCGCCAAAACCTTGGCAGCTCACTCGACTGAATCTGAATGGGCACTTAATATGAAACTAGTAAAGTACACAAAATCAATATCTATACTTATGTAAAAAGACATTTATTAGAATTGGTGGTAAGAACAGCTCACTGGACTGAATCTGAATGACCAAATGTCTGGATGATTTAAAATTGAGTCCATAATAAATTATTTAAATTTGAACACACCAAAAATTTTATATACTTTTTATTTATAAATATATTGAAAGTGGAATTTAATGATGTTATATAAACTATTTTAATATATTTTCAATGAATAAAAGTGTGAATGAATAATTTGTAATGTTATTCATAATGTTTGTGATTTATGAGGCACGAACACATAACTCCATACATATTTGCGACTTAATAATTTTTTAGACTTAACGTTGATTAAAAGAGATAAAAAAATAGAATAATAACATTATTACTTTTTAGTCTTAAACGGACAATGCTGTGAAAATAACTCATTTAATATCTTTGTCTCGTGCATCGCACGGGGTACGTACTAGTATATAATAAGAATAACAATTTACTAAAACTAGTAGTACAAAAATTTATGAGCATTTAATGCATACATTTTTTGGAAACTTTTTAAATATATGCATTAATTGCTTCCATATATATTTTCAAATAAGATCAAAATCAGATATGATCAAATATATTGTTTATTTAAATAACTTTATTAATATCTGCAATAATTTCATTGATAATCTACTATAATAAATTAAAAGATTGATTTTTCGTGATTCATATTGATAATATTTTGGTTAAAATAAATATTACAACATATTTAAAATTCTAACCATAATATTATTTTTTTTCCCAAATATTCACATTTTATCTAAAAGTATTTATAGAAAATCGTTACAAGTTAGGTGAATTTTTTCTTCTAAATAATTAGGCGAAATCAAGTTGGTGAATTAATCTCCGCCAATATAATTTTTTCTTAAGCTTTATTCGTTATATATAAAAATAAATTATTCTTCGAATTAATATAATTTTTCATTTAAGAGATAATGACTAAATACATTAAATAGTTTCACTAATAGTCAAAAATTAAAATTGAAATGTATTAACTGATCTATAACTTATTTGTATATTATTGTCAATCATGATTTTTTTTTTATCATTTTTTATTTCGATTTCTTTCTATAATGAAATTCTTGAAAATATATTTTCATTGCAAAATAAACTATAAAAATCCTTTATAATGCAAATAGAAAAATCTTGATTAACTAGAAGCATTACATCACATGCGTTTTTTAGTATTAACTATAGATAGTTAGCTGAAAAATTTATTGTTTCTCGTCTTCCCGTTCACTATCACTATGTATTGGGTTGGGCATAAGAGTCCATAAAACCAAATCCAATAAAGAGTACATATATAAAATCCAAGAGGATTAAGTATAAAATTTAAATATTATTATAGAATATCTTGTTTTGTTTGACAATTTAGGTAGATATAGGTATAGGAATAGGAGTCTTTATTTAAATGACTCTCTATCTATTGTTTTAGTAGTTAAGTTGAGAATGATATAAGAATTGATACGTGTGGTGTTATGAAATTCCGATATCAAGATTCCAAGATTGTGATCATTAATATCTTCCCGGCAAAGAGAATTGAATAATTGAGAAGCATGTCCCTCAATCTGTTGGCCCGCGCCAAATCAAAATTCAAATCCTTTCTAAAATTGCGCAGAATTCCCATTCCTATCATCAAGCATGAGAGCAAGTTTTTGGTGGCGCAGCGACAGCGTGGATTATCAAGCAAGGTGGACGAGGTGGAACGGTTACATTACTCGATAATTTCAACCGAGGATAAAATTCCTAAACTCGAAAAACATTTGAAATATCCAATCGCCGAGGGCAAGGATTATCACCATCCCTCATCTATTTGCAATGGTTTATTGCTGCTTTTGGTACGGGGAAAAGATACAAAGCCTCCAGGGGAGGCTCTGTGGAACCCGACAACAGGGGAATTCAAAATCCTTCCTCCTTCAAACTTCGACCCCAGAATGTACCAATACTTATGAAACTCACAATTTATTTTTATTTATTTTTTCATATAACAAATATTCCTATCAACTTGTTCACACCTCCCACATACATTACAGGTATGTGAAGAAGTTCCAAGGTTATTTTGGTTTCGGGTTTGATTCGGAGTCTGAGGATTACAAGGTGATAAGATTGCTCGAGCTCAAGAGTAAACATTACGCACCCAATGCAGCTGTGATGGCCGAACTTTATTCGCTCAGAACTAATTCATGGAAACAAGTCAGAGTCGCTCATCCTTTAGATATTCCACGACACTATGGTGTTCACGTAAACGGCACTTATTACTGGTTAAATTTCAATCTCTCGGATCCTTGGTTTATCGTGTCTTTCGACTTTGCTACTGAGAAGTTTGCTTCCTCTGTTATTCCTGCGCCCCCGAGTGAGAAGCTCACCGGAATAAATGCATATTTTGATAATATCAAGCTCGTGGAATATTGTGGGTCGCTCGGTGCTATGGTTATATCGGGTGTGGACGGGTGGTCAAGCTCACCAAGAGAAATGCGTAGTTTGGAAATTTGGGTTTGGGATGGCTCGTGGTCCCTGGTGTCCACGTTCAGCATCCCTCTTTCTGTGGGTTATAGCATCGTTGGGACTGATAAATTAATTTTTTCGGGCTTGAATGGTAATCTGGTGCTTTTGGATAGTGTGACAAGCAAGTCGGAGAAGATACACGGACTGCCTCCTTCTTCTATGGCGGCGTACCACATTTTTCCT